TATTATTTCTCGCTCTATTCACAGGAATTGCCTAATTAAAAAAGGCCTCAAATCCACCTATTCCAATATCCCATCTCCAACAGCTCCCAGCATCAGTTGTCTCAGATGGAAGGATGACAAACTCCATAGAAGCAATGCGAGATAATCTGCCCCTGAGGAGGCTTCATCCTAGTCCCAAAGAGTCAGATTAGTTTAATCTCTAAAACATGAGGCTTTCTAATCCTTGCACCTAGCATTAACTAAGTTAACTCAGGGTATTCTTGTTATCCTTAGAAAAATCCAAATCCCTTTTGAATCTTGCTATATTCTTGCCTTAAATGACATTATTATTCATATCAAGTTCTACTTAACTCTGTGAATAAATCTTATAGACATTTTTGGGCCTCCCTATGGAACTGGATACTTCTCAATGTGAGCAGCATGTCAAAATGTATCCCATGTTGATTAGAAAGCTCTCTGCAGAGAACAGAGTACTACACCAGATAATGAGGATATTATGTGATCTACTTTTACAGAGAGCAGTATAATCTGTGCCTCATGTGATACATGCAGCTCACTAAACATAAATCCTGCATGTAATGCCCTCATTTTTGCAGCATGGCAGTGCTGAAGTCTGAGATGCATGATTGTGCCTGTGGCAGGTACAAATACATTAACCCCCCCCAAACTAGAGCATGCCCCTGAATTACACAGGCTTACTTCCAAAGCTTCTGCAATCTACCTCATCACTCACAACATTAGCATCCTCCTTCATGGAGGCTATGATCCATAATGTCAAAAATCTGATTGTTTTTCTTTGTACCCATGGACATAAAACTCTCCTGTAGACCTCCCCATCTTCTTTTTTATTGCTGCAGCCGCCTCTGAAATCTCCCCAGTAACCATATTGCTTCTTTTATGACATCTAGAAAGGCTTCTTGCCTCTTACTCTGACTATAAGTTTCCCCCTTTCATCTTTTTCCTTCACTCCTCCCATTCTCACACACATCAGATTCAACTTCCAGAGTCACCTTGAAGGCTCTCCACAACCCCTGCCATTTCCAAACCTGTTTCTTTCTTATGTTTGCACTGTTCCACAAACATGCTACCCATTTGCCTGCTTGTCCCACAAACCTCTCTGTGCTCTTTTTCTGGGATATCCCATAAGCACAGAACGTGCTTCCCCAATATCCTTCACTCCCACTGTGACACTTTCAAGAGCAGCCAGCTAATAAGGGCTGGGGAATAGAGCAGCTGGGCACATTTAGCAGTGGTATCCAAACTATTTGGGCCACCAGACAACCATTAACCCTCATCATTTCATTGCAAAGTAATAGGCATGCTTATCATCAAGCTTAATGGGTTCACAGATCAGTCGGGAAAGCAGAGCTATGGGGTATTGAAAAAAATATTTCCAAATGATTGAGAGCCATCACCACTGTGGCTGTATTTCCATCTCCCTTTCCCCACACACTGTTCTTTTGAAAGGTTAGGGAAAAACGCACTCAGCAGAGAGGCTTCTCTATGGAAAAACTTCTTTACTGTCCGAGCCCCCAAGGCCTGGAGCAGACGCCCCCAGAAGTGGTGCAAGCACCTACTCTGGACTCTTTAAAGAAGCATTTGGATGCTTATCTTGCTGGGATCCATCGACCCTAGCAGACTGCCTGCCCCTGGGGCAAGGGGCTGGACCGGATGATCTCCAGAGGTCCCTTCCAGCCCTAATGTCTATGAAATCTATGGTGTAAGGGCAGGCAGGGGCTGGGACTAGGGGGGCCCTTCTCTGTAAGGGCAGCAGGGGCTCGAGCAAGCCAGCGGAGGAGCCGGTCTCACCTCGGCCACGGCCGGCACCAGGGCGGCCCCCCCCCGGCCCCGGCCGGCTCCAGCCCGCACAGCAGCAGCGTCTTGCTGCTCTCTGCGGGGACCCGGAAGTCCAGCACCTCCGCCATGGCCCGGCGCCGGCTTCTCCGCGGGGCGGGTTGGGATCGGCATCGCCCCGCCCCCTGCTTGGCGTCACCCTCAGAGCCGCCCCGCCCCCTGCTCGACGTCACCTCCCTCGGAGCCGCCCCGCCCACACGAGCAGGAGCCGGCGGCCCGGAGGGGCTGGAGATTGAGGCGCGCTCCTGGCACCGCACCTCAGCACCCGCGTCCCCTCTGCTTCTTCCCCCTTCTGAGTCCGGAGTCCTGCCCCACCACGAGTGTAAGCACCTGCCCGGCAGGCTTGCAGCCCTTCTCCCGTCTAGCTCTAAAGAGGGCCTCACATGGCTTATTGTAATCTGCCTCATCCCTTCTCAGCTCCTCATCCCCGGGGTGTTTGTTAAGGATCGTCTTTTTCATAGCCTTGGCAAGGTTCTTTGGGTAGATGCAACATCTTCTGTGAGACCAACTGAGTGGTTGGAACAAAGGTGTTTTGCAGGCTTTCAGGCACAAGCGCCCTTTTTGAGGCATAGGGAGTCTGCTGGGCTGAGATCCCCAAGGGAATAAAAGATATCATTGGTGATGCAACGGCAGCTTGGCAGCGCACCTCCTGCAAAAGCACCACTGACACTGCCGGTGGCACCTGTGGGTAGTTGTCACTTGCCACCCCCCCCACTGCCAACACTGCTGGCAGCATCTGCAGGTGGTCACTGACCACCAGTCGGTACTCACCCCTGCCACCACCGCCACGGCCACCTGTGGGAACTCCCCGCTCACCGCCACCACAGCTCCACCACTGTTGCCGCGGCGTGCAGGTGGTCACCGTGCCCCCCCAGGTAGGTAGGGGAGAGCACCACCTTGCTTGGAAGCCCATTCCAAATTTTGGCCACCCTTGCTGTGAAGAAGTTTTTTCCTGAGATCTAGTCTAAATCTGCTCTCTGTCAGTTTGTGACCATTGCTCCTTGTTACTCCAAGAGGTGCCCTGGTGAATAGAGCATCTCCAATCCCTTGCTGTGTCCCCCTAATGAATTTGTAGGCGGCCACAAGAAGATCACCCCTCAGCCTTCTCTTGTGGAGGCCGAAGAGGTCCAGGTCCCTCAGTCTCTTCTCATAGGGCTTGTCCTGTAAGCCCCTAACCCTGTCCTTTTAATAGTCTTGATGTTCTACCAATCAGGCTAGCCCAAAAATTCTTTAATTGCAAGCATTCAGGCACAAACACCCTTCATCAGGCATCAGAGAAAAGATTGTAAAAGTTCTGGGTAGAAATGAAAGTTCATATTTCATAGGATTTCACAGAGGAGTCAATAGATGGAAAATACCCTCTGGACAGTAGTTCTTAGCTGGCAACGAGTCTCAGCTCTCCTGTGAGGCTGTGAGGATACAAATTACCTTAGACAAAGGCAGGAGCAGGATCTCAGGTTTCAGGTGGTCCAAGTTGTTTCCTGCTTTGAAAAATATGAAGATTTCATTGCAAAAATGAAATCTGCCCATGCATCCCAGGGACTGAGCACAGGGCACACTCACAACAGTGTCGTCTTCTAATCTGGCATTCCTCAACCTTGTGGGTCGTGACCCAAAAGTGGGTCGCAAGAATATAGTGCTATGGCAAGGAAGTTTGGCACCGAGGGCAAAGCCTGCAGCGGCAGCCCGCCCTTGCCCCAATCCGTGTGGTAGCTCTCCCCATGCTTGCCCGGGAGACCATGCAGCGGCAGCTGCCCTCCCCCTGTCCCCGCGCCCCCCCCAAACAAGCCCTTTGCAGCTCTGTCCCGTGCCCCGCCCCGGCTGGGCAGCACCTGTTGGCACCCCTTTGCTTCGGCGCCCAGAGTGATTGCCCTGCTTGCCCCCCGCCTTGCTACGGCACTGCAAGAATATATGAAAGGGTCACAAACAAACTTTAAAAATGGATCAATAAACTTTAAAAATGGATTCTGCTTTAAAGAAAAACATGGGAAACCATGGCTTTTCCCTTGTAGGCTGCAGAGTTCCAGCCTGCAAGAGACTGCTTGCCCCCCCCCCCCCCCTGCATGCCCCACATGCTGGGGGTGGTGGGCAGCGGGTCCAGAGTGAGGGGTACTGGGTCTTGACTGGCCATCAAATGGGTCCTGGTACAAAAAAAGGTTGGGAACCACTGTTTTAACCCTCAGGCCCTGGTCTGCTCCCTCCTCTTGCATCCTGGCTTGTTCCATGCTGTTAGAGAGACACTCTTACTTCCCTAGCCATCTGCCTGGCTTGTCAAGTCACGGCTGTGACTTGCAGTGTGCAAATGAGGGATTTTTTTGGTTACGACTGACCTGAAAAATGTGTACCCCCCCCCACCCCCCACCCCCCTTCAGACTGACTCGGGACTCAGAATTACTTTGGGGGTTGTTTTTTCCTTTGCCAAAAATGACTTCATTTGAGAACAAGTGAAATGCTTCAGTCAACCTGAAAGAAAGTGGTTTGTCTCCTTCTGTGTTTTTCCCCGACTTTTTTTTCAAATCAACTTTAAGCAAAGCTCTAAACTAGAGGCCTTTTGAAATGAAAAAGCAAAATGTCTCATTTAAAGTAATACTCAAATCAAAATGCCTAGGCTTTAAAAAAAATGGCCCAAATATTTGTGGACTCAACTAATTTCTAGCGCCCTGAAACTGCATTTTTGGTGAATAATTTATCTGTCTGGAAGACTTCACCCCGGTGATGTCTTTCTACATCAACAGCCCCTACACCAACTGGAAACATGAGCATTGTTGTTTGCAGTGGGGTGACTAGTGCCTCGGAGCAGTGGTTTCATGGAGATCTGGTGGACTATGCTTAATTAGCTGACTGCTCTACAAGGCATCACAGTACGTGAGTTTATTTAACAGTGAAAACACCAAAGACAATGTTGGGCTTGTAGCTTGTTTATTCTCTGTAGGCAAAAATATTTTTTTTTTTTACAAAGACTGGGGAACATTATTATGCAGTCCCCCTGGACACCGCAGCTATGAAAGACAACTTGTTTGCTCACAATATCATGAGCCTCTGTTTTTTTTTTCTGAATGAAGGCATGACAGAGGCATAAGCATGCTAAACTCACCATACATTTGTGTACAGGACTAAAAGAAGAAATAATTTCTTCATTTCTTCTATCAAATACTGCAGTTGCTCTCACCAAAGCGTCGACACTTTATCACCTTCAGGTAGGTCTCCACCTTGTGAAGGTCTTTCTTGAAGCAGGACAAGAGACCATAGTTTTTTAACAAGGCATCTTCATTTCGGAGATTTATGTCAAATTTCTCATACGTGGGTTTGAGGATTTGAGGACCCCGATGGCTTCCATCTTCCAACTCCTGTAAAGACAGGCCAGCCTAAATGAGAGGAAATGGCTCTGGGGAAGGCACATCAAAACCCTTCAGGCCTGGGACCATGGAAATGATTGCCAAGGCAGAAGCACAGGTGAGTGAAACCCACTGCCCAGCCCCTGCACTCCCAAAGAAGGGCCTTCACAGAGAGAGAAAACCAGAGGCAGCATTCAGACAGAGAAGGAGTGGGTTTAGCAAATCTGTGTGGGTGCCCTTGGGAGTTTCCACTGGCAGATGAGATGGAGTGTGCTGGTGAGAGGAGCTGCTATCAAATCCAGGCTGGCTCATCAGGTAGAAGAACAAGACAGGCAGCTAAGGGAGAAGAGCAGAGGGTAGCAGGTAGTTCTGGGGTAAGCTGGGTTTTGAGGTGACTGGGGCAGAGGAGATCAGGTGGGAATGGGAGATGGGGGGGTAGAACAGCAGATGATCCTGGGAGTAGATGGGCTATAGAGAGGTGGGATATACATCTAGTTTATGTATGCATATTCCACCCTATCCAGGAGGCTCAGAGTTTTTTATATAAGTGGCCTTATACGAATGTTACTCACTGTGCACAGGATGGGAACTTCTATTTCTGGATTCCCTGTAGACCCTTACCTACTGCTCCCTCTATTCCTGCTCCTTTCCATTGCCTCATCCTGTTTGCTTTTTTTAAACTGAAAGCACTTATGTTTAAAATCAGTGGTTCCCAACTTTTTCTAGACTGACCCCATGCTACTACAGAAAATATTCCAGGACCCTTCTCCTATGTAGCATTTAATAAGGTCTTTGCCACCTTCCTGATGTTGGATGCATTTTAGAATACAGACACATACATTTTTAAATGCAAGTTGAGCAAGTTATATGTATGAAAATATGGTGGCACAGTGATTTAAGCACAGCATCTTGCTTGCTATGATTCCAGAGGCATGACTTTGAGCCCTGCTCCAGATTAGAGCTAAAGTCTCTAGCCAACCTAGCTGTAAACAGGCATCTGGTAATTTTAGGATAGGGAGTGAAAGACAGCTGACATGATGCTAGCTCCCTCATCACTCCCTTGTGTACCCTTAACTATACAAACTGACTTGTCTTAACCATGGCTGACTGAGAGACAGCAAGGCTCTGGCAGATCTTTGACTTTTTGCATTATCTAGGGACACTGATCTATGTATATACTCATAAACAATAAGCTATTGTCTGCAAGTATGTAGCTGAATGGAGCACTGGGGTGGGAGACAATGGTAAGAGGTCAAATGTGCCTATGTTGGACATAAATGGGATGGGGACTGGCTGTGGATCTCAGGAACAGAGCTGGTCAAAATGCTGGATTAAGGCGATTATGGAACCGGTGAAATAATCTCTACTCTGCTAAAAAACTTTGCACTTCTAACAGAGAAAGCTTTAACTAATGGTAAAACATTCTGAATTTTGAGCAAAAATCTCTCCAGGCTACAAGACTCCTGGTGCTTCCCCTTGGAAAGCCTTATGTACCAACTGAAACACCATATAAAACTTCTTGTTCCATATAACACCTTGTACTTTTCTCATCAGCAAAGTATCAGAATGCTTTCCCATAATTTATTAAGCAATAGAACTAACTTCTATTACATATTTATTCTTTCATTCTTCACCCAAGTGTATTTCACCCAAGTGTATAAGTGTGTGCGGTGGTGTTTTGTTGTCATATTTTTAAAATAATAATATATAATTCTCACACCAATTCTTATTGGTTCATGCTAGAGGTAAAAAAATGCATGCCTTGCACTTGTAGAGAGAGTTTGTAAAGTTTTGATGGCTCCTAGCTCCTGTGGAAGGAAATTCCACCATCTGAGAATGACCCCAATAAAAGCTTTGTCTCCGGGTATCCAGGAAAGCCATGTTGTTCTGTACCTGTGTTACATGTTGCAACTCACCCTCATCAAAGCCTGAATACCTTCTTCTAAATCCCTCAGTTTCTCGTAGACTCTGTCTGAGGTGCCAAAAACAAGGCTGTTGGTGAACACCCTGCTAAGGAATTGTACCGGGTTTAACCAGGACTGGATAAGAACCAGAGAAAATCGAAGAAGCTCCATGTCCTGAAATTAAAAAAAAAGAATTGGGGTCATCAATCAGGATAGGTTTAGATTGGATACCAGGAAAAAACTTATCTCCAGTACATTTGAACAACCCTTGCAGCAGCAGGACACTAGCTACTGTTGTCCCCCTGCTTGACCTATGGCAGGTTTGGGTGTGGTTGCGTTATAGGGTTGACGGTAGTTTAAGGGTGCTGTTACAGGCTACCTTTAAACCATTCTAAATGTGTCAAACGTTAGGCGCTGTTAAAGTTAGAACAGTTTCAGAGCTATCATAGGGTAAGGCTTAATGCCTGAACAACTCTGACTTGCTGCTAGAGGGCATGGCAAGCATGGGCATGGCCAGGAGTCAGGACTTTATCCCTCCTTTGGGAGCAGAGACCCAAGCGCAGTGAGAGCATGAAGCCTGGGAAAGCATGCCTCACTGGGCCTCATGTTTTCCCTGCCTGAAGGCTTCACTCTTAGTGCAGAGTCACTGGGGGGTTAACTGTGGCAACAGCATGGACCCTGAAGAAGTATGCCTCTCCATGCTCTCACCATGCTCCACACTAGGTAGCCCTTTCCCTTCTATCCCCAGGAGTGTGGAAACTGGGGAGGGGAGCTGTGCCTCCCTATCAAATTCTCCTGGCTGAGAGAGCTGGCTGGATGTGGGATAAAGGCTTAGCCCTCTCAGGGGAAGACTGTCTACTTGGCCCCTAGCCTGAATTGGGTCTCCTAGGATCCTTGGAACCAGCAGCATGGCGCTAGGGTCATGGGCTGGGGTCATATCCAGTGGGGGCAGATGCGGGTCTTAGTTTAGGCCAGTACCACCTGCTGGGCAGCATTGCTTGGGAGGGTGGAAAGTCTGTTGGGGTAGAGGGGCTGGTAACTGTGCATCCTGGGATGCAAGATGACTGCAGATAGGTTGCTTTATCTCCACGGAGTAGACCAGGAGTTGCCAACCGGGGGTACCCTGGGGGTACTTGGGAAGGCCACCACCCCATGCCACCACCTCCCAGGAGCAGGGCCGAAGGAGAGGAGGGGGAAGGGCAGTGGCACCCCTCTGCAGGCCACAAAGGCGCCACCCAGCTGGTTGGAAGGGGGGGTGGGGAGGGAGATTGCATGTGGCCGCCACCACCCACCCCCCTGCGCTGCTGCCACTCCACATCTGGTGGCGGGGGGGTACACTTACTAAAAAAGTTTGAAAACCCCTGGAGTAGACTAACAATGCCCTAGCTCAAGCTAGGTAAAATGGTTCAAAGATAACCCTTGCCTAACACGGCATAACTTTAAGATGCTTAGAGGATACTTAGCACAGCTTAACACCCTTTAATGTGTAGATGCTCCCATTTCAAATGCCTTTAGAATGCTTAAAGGTAGCCTGTAACACCACCCTTAGTAACAGGTTAGGCTAGGATTTGTATGAGATTGTTTGGATAGGGATAAGCCTCCTCTGGCAGGGGGCTGGACTAGGTGACCTCTAAAGGTCCCTTCCAACCCTATTTTTCTATGATTCTATGATTACTCTTCTGGGAGGATACCTGATATAACTCATGCTCTGAAAAGTCCACAGGACAAAAAATGAGCACAAGGGGTCAAGTGTGTGTATATCTTCGTTTGATCATCCATCAGAAAGTCAGGAGCCTCCCCCTTGACACAAGGCAGAGCACTGCATTTAGGATGGTCTTCAGTGGAGAGTGCCTTTAAAGACTTCCTTCAGTGGTTCAGCTTGTGCCTCCAGATGTCTCCCCTTCAGGTACCAAACTGCTTAGGGAGGTGATGTATGCCTCAAGGATCTACCTTAACAATCACTGGACATGATAAACCTACATGATGTAACAGAAGCATCAGAAGCAGCTCTTCTTGTTGCCTTGTGGTAACTTACTGATTTCTGCTGGGCATCGTCTTTTCCTGTGGGAGCAGGGATGGTTTCTGAATAACAAAATGCTGACTGGGAATTTTTGTTGGAATGCCTCTGCTCCTCCGGAATATAGGAACGTTCCTGGAAAAATATGCCAAACACACTGAGAACTGCTGTTTCCAGAGCAATATTTCTAGGGCCTAAACACGTTCCTATTCCAGCCTGCTTGAGTCCCTGAAAAACTGCCAACACAAAAGGGGAACGGGTCTTCCTCCTCCTGGGGCATTTTGGTGAACTTGTCTCAGGGTAAAGAGGATGATATATTACAAAAAGTACACCAGTTAATGGTTTTCCAAGGACTTGAGCAGGGAGGAAAAGGATTACATTTAGGTGGCCAAGATGACTGTGCTGCCTAATAGTGGAATACTGGTGAGCTTTTACTATTAAGTAGGTAGCAAAATGAAATAAAATGGCTGGCAGGTGGGAAATACAGTATAGCCTTTGATGAGCAGAGCATTTGTGGCTCACTTTGTTACCAAAGCTAAAGATCTTCCTCTGGCTAAGCCTGAGCTAGGGTCTAAGGCATAACACAAGTATTTGTGCTACTTACAAACTCTTTGTAGGTTTCTGCAGCCAGGAGGTGAAGGTGCTGGGCTCTCAGGACAGCATTTGCAAACAGATTGGAGAGGGGCATGGCAGGGAAGGTTGCTGCCTGTTTAGGCCACTGCAGCCCCAAGATGATTGCAACAAAGAAGAGAGGAGAAAACCATGACCCTGCAAAAAAGGGAGGTGGCATCAGTAACCCTCAGGCTGTGGCCTAATTGTTCTCAGGGACCAAAAAGCTACAGTAAATCCCCTTCCATCCTCCTCCATCTTTCCAGTAGGAGACCTTGGACCACATTCTGCTAGAGAAGTAGCATATGGGCAGCTAAAGACTGATTCCTAGGGGTATTTTTACATGTGCTCCGGTGGGGAGGGGTGCTTTCGTTAGAGAGCTGCTCTAATTAAAGCACCTAGAACATCCTATGTATCAGCGTCCTTGTGCTTCAAAATGGCGGTGGGGGCGTTTTATCTAAAGCTCATTGAACGAGCTTTAGTTAAAGCACCCCTGCCGCCATTTTCAAACACAGGGATGCTGTTACACAAGACATAGAGGCTGGCTGGAGTGCGCTAATTAGCATGCTTCAGCAGACAGTTTAATCAAGTCTGCTCCGATGTTAAAGCAGCCTCCTGGCATATCTACAGGCACCCTGGATTTTAAGACCAGAAAAAGACCATTACGAGCATCTAATCTGACTCACGCAAAGCCCAGGCCAGACTATTTCACTCGGGGTTTCTGCATCAAGCCCAGAACTGGTGGAGCTAGAGAAGACATTTCTTAAATTAAAACATTCAGTCTTGACATAAAGACTAACAGGAGGGAGAGCTGACCCGCTCCCTAAGTGACTTGCTGCATTGGCTAATTAAATTATCCACCAGTTTGAATTTGTCTGGCTTCAGCTTCCAGCCTTGGATCTTGTTCTAGTTTTGAAGGCTAGATTAAAGAGTCAACTGCTATCAAAAAATCTGAACCTCAAGTTGGTATTAATAAATAGTGACCATGTCACCTCCTAACAGCTCCTCGGATAAAGTAAACAAATTGAGCTTTTTTCATCTACCTGTGACGGGAAGGATTTTCAGACCTAGAACCACCATTCTCTGAGCTCTTTTCTGAGCTCTAGTCTGCACAATCATTGTACTTACCAAGACTTAAACAATATGACAAGCAACATGCAGGTAACGGGCCAAAGGGACAGATCTTGCCGGTTCTATACCTTCTTAAGATTCTCACATGCATATTCTACCTCTGCTCTCTTTCTCTGACTTGTTCTGACTGCTGTGCACATTCTCTTCCACAGTTGCTGACCTGAAGTGCCCTCTTCTTTCACCAGAAATCACCAGGCTATCTTCAAAGGGCACAGAGCATCATTGTCCCTAATTTACAGATGGAAAATTGAAGTTTTGGGAGATGAACACTAACATTTTGACAGGTAGAAGCCAAATGCAAGACACTTTAGAGATGGTGAATGCACACAGCTCCCACTGAAATCAATGGGCACACTCAACATCTTTGAAATCCACGCTACTTCTTTAGGTGCCTGAATGTGGATTTACAGAAACTAACTCAAGACAAGGAGATCTGAAAATATTGATCTTCACCTCTGTGCTCTGGTCTCCATCCACAGGATAGAAAACAGGATGAAGATGCTTACCCAGCTTCCAAGAGGGTCCGTGAGGTTTGGTTTATATTCATGCAATGCTTTAAAAAAATATAAACTTCTCTATAATGATAATAGGTGGAAGCAGCAATTTGGATGTGTACTCAATTCCCTGATCAGGAATCACAATATACTCACAGGGTCCAGTAGAGATATATTCCCATACATACAGCCAAATAAATACTTACTTCTTCTTCCCTGTAGGTGCCAAAATAAAACTGATCTCTACCCCCCGCACCCTCACGACTGCCCAATGCAAGCAAAAGCAATGTGTAAGAGCCAAAGGAGTAACAGAGCAGCATCATGCTCTGGGCAGCTTCAGCACATGGGGCAATACTGGCTGCTGTGCTATTGGCAGTGGCTATTTTTGCACCTTCCCCACAAAGATAGTATATGGGGCTTTGGTCCCAGCTAGATATCCTCAGTTATACTACTGGTAGGACTGGCATTTTGTGGGCCATGGCAGAAAAGAAGAAGTGATACTAGTGAATGGGCCTGGGTGTGAATAAGTGGTTATGACAGCACTTATGGTGCTGGGGTTATAGATGCACAGTAGAGATTGTTTGTGATGTGGATTTTGGGTACTGTGTGCAGGGTGGAAGATAGGTGATACCAGAGAGTGATGATGTGAGCCGTGGGTGCAGGGAGGAGGTAAAGGGTGCTAAGGGTTTCAATGCTTAGTGCTGCAGGCAGGTGAGGGATACTGGAATTTAGGTGCAGGGGGAGGTGCATGTGCCAGCCAGTGGTGTTGGGGTTTATAGCTCTATTTTGGTTCTTTCTGGTCATCGTTTCAGACCAGTGTTTAGAACTATTTTTTAGTCCAAGCATAATTTGTACTGCTTCTACTGGAGTATTTCTCTGTCCTGGCAAATCATATAGACTGTCTAACCTTAGCTTAGCTGTCACCCCATTGACTACACTATCTTTCTTGATATTTTTCTTTCACTGAATATTTCTTATTCACTAATTCCACAAAACCTAATGGCAGTCTCTTATTTGTCCCTTTCCCACCAAAGCCAGAGATGCCCTTTGAGTCTCATGTACTCCTGACAGTAGGAGCAGTTCTTGGTTGAAGAGAGCCCAATGTAACCTAGTGGATTTAACTACCTCTCCTCCCACTATGTCCAGTATTTTCTCCTTTAGGCTTCTCATCAACTAGAAAACAGCTAACACAAAGGGAGAATACAGCTAATGGTAACTGGTACAAGGAAAAATCCTAGTGAAGACAAGGCAAGGTTAGTATTGGCACTTGTTAGTATTGATTTAACCTAACACAAGTGAAAACTACTGGAAACTTGATTTTTGTTAGGGCTTAACTTGTGTTAGTTACCATGGGCTTATGGGAGTAATTCTCAACCAGGGTGTAGCACACTAGGGGACCATGAGATCCTTTTAAGGGTGACATTCAGAATTATCACTGTTAGTTGTCCAAACATCTCCACATGATTCACAAGACAAACCCAGAAAATTCAAATAGAAATCCCTAGTGTCATAAGCATTGTGACATGTTGTGGTCTGAGTTGTTTGCAACAGAAGAATTAATCTTCTTCTAAAGTTAAAACAAAAGATAAAGTAAAAGCTAAGCTGGTATTTCCCAAGGAATGCCTTGAGTCTAACAAAGTTGAGAACTACTGGTTTAGTAGAAGAATATTTTTTCTTAATACGGGCAGCCGTATATAATGAATCTCAAATGCTTTCTTTGCCTTCAGGGAGAGGGATTAAAAATTGAAGTGTGGCTATAAAAAAAAATCAGGTGAAACCATTGACAATCTTGTATGATTGACATTCAGAAATAACAAATTTTCCATACCTGAATAAGTGAGATAAAAGCCATGTTTCACAAATCTGCCATTCCAATGATCATTTTCCTTTTACCAATCTTAGTCTGAGCTAGACTGCAGCAGGCAAGGGTCTCATTAGCTGAGTTTGAGATGGGAGTTCACAGTTACAGGCTGGTCTTCATCCAGCTGTCATCTCTCCAGGTACAAATATTTTGGGGCTCAATTTTGCACTTATGAGTATTTCTCCTGCAGTTTGCATTGCTTAGATATCAAGTCACTGATTGTTTCCACAACTGTAGGATGACATTCTCAGGAAGAGTTGTGTGCACCTTAGTTTTCATCTGCATAACCAGAGGTCAGCGCTTATAAACCTGTCTATGATTTCCTTTAACCTGGGATGACACTTTTCCAGGTTGCACAAGGCTTTGTTTCTATCTCTGAGTTCTAGAGTGGCCACTAAAATCAGCTGAGAATTGAAATAGAGTGAAAAAACCCCAAAACATAAATCAAAATGATGTTATAGGCAAGATCTGATACCTTGGGAGAAACTACTGAAGATAAATAGCTATAGAGCTATTTCTCATTTTGCCAGTAGCATGCTGCTGAGAGCAGCTCAGTACTGAGGAAAGCAAACCGCTAGATAGATATGAATTCTTCTCAGCCTGGAGGACCTTCATCTGCAGACCCTGACGAAGTGTGAAAGACTTGAGAAAAATATGAAGGTTAGTGAGAGGGAGATGAGGCAGAGGAAGGCTAGGGGTTGCCATGTTGTCAGTGTTTGCCCAGCCCAAAGGCATGGCTAATGCCAGCCATGTATATACAGTACCAAGCCATAGTGTCCACCAAGTGTCACAACCCAGAACAGAAGATATTCACCAACAAAACACCTTTCATTGGAGGAAGATGAAATAGCCCAGATCAGGCCAATGTGGGATAATCTTCCTTACTTTAAGTCCCATCATGTTCTGTAACAGAGACTGGCTTAAGCCCTGAAGAATGAGGTTTAATATCTCTGGCCAAATTTTTGCTCAGTGATAACAATTATAACTCTAAATACTCTTGTTATGCTAATCTATGTCCAGTGCCTTCTTACATCTTACTAAATTCTTGGCTTCTGCAACTGCCTATGCCAGTTCCATAGTCTAAATAATCCTTGTGGGAAAATAGATTCCCTTTCATTAGCTTTAAATATGTCACTTTTCAATATATACACCTAGACACTGATTTTACATGGCACATAGCAATACTGCCCTCTCTTTGCCCCGTGTCTCATCAGTCCCAGCCTGCTATGACATTTGCATTACTTTCAAATTCAAATATAAAGTACCTGAAGCCATTTCTGTTTGGTGAGTTGCTCAGGTTCTCTTTGAAGACGGATGTTCCCTACGTTCATGTAGGCTGGTAATGGTAATGTTTGAACTCTTCTTATATACTAGGGGGTCCATGTAAAATTCATACATGTTTTCATGATCATGACAGCCCCTCTGTGTTTGCTTGATGCATAAATGCACATGTATGCGCAATGATGTTACTAATCAGAATTATTTATACATAAATGTAAAGGTTATTGAGGATGTTTGCATAGGGATAAATTTAGCACTGAATGATCTGCCATATTTATTGTGTTGGTGGTCTTTTTTTTGCCAATAGGGGTCTTATCATAACAGGGAGGCCCATCTCTGATCAGAACAACCACTAAGCAGCTTATCCTCCAAATTATTTATCTTGATGACAGATAAAAATGTACCCCTACTCCTAGCTGAATTGGGCAGATTCTGAAGGACCCTGCAGTGACCTGATAGAAATGGTTAGACACTTTAGGAGACTTCTGATATGAGGCAAATGGATAATTTTTCATTATTTTATTATGGGGAATAGAGCTAGGTAAATTTGTTTCTGGATACATGGCTTGTTCCCAAAAAGATTCAGTTTTGAATCAACCCAAAATTCATAAGTTCCATTCAAATTCAGACAAAAACTTCAATGGGAAAAAAGTGAAAAGTTGAAATGTTTTTTGCTTTGGTGTTTTCTAAGTAAAACCTAATGCAAAAACTGATCTGCTCCAAACAGGGAGAGGGTAAGATGACTTTGCAAGCTTTCACTTTTGCTGGGTCTGCTTTCCCTGTGCTGCAAAACTACATCCATACCATTTTTGTGAGGTCTCTGGTGTCCTCAAGCATGTTAGATCTCAATTCTATTGTCAAGCCCTGGATTTATGCAGCTCAGTTGCACTGAGCTTCACAGCAAATGGGGAACCATGAAGTGATGTTAAATGAGGCCAAAGAGTCTCCTAAAATCATCTTCCCTTTCACTGAAACAAGTCCCAACATACTCTATAACAAATCCATTTTTTGGCACTGCAACAAAGAAGGATTCTTCCTGAGCTGCCTTTTATTTCTACAGGGCACGTCTACATGAGACACTTACTGCGGATTAGCCTAATAACACTGCAGAGTAGTGTGGAGGTTAAAAACCGTGCTAATAGCCTACTGCACAGTGTTATTAGGCTAATGTGCAGGAAGCATCATAAAATAACCATGTGCTGGCGCTACTGAACAGTAACTCTAGTTACTGCGCATTTAGTCAGTACTTCATTAAGCAAGTACGAAACTAAATGCACTGTATCTAAGGTTCATTAATGAACATGTGAGCTAAA